TTATTATTATTATAAGATTTTTTTTTAAACACAAAGAGGAAGTCGTTGTTCGTACAGGTGATTGCCTTGGAGAAGTGTTCGTTATAGGAGACTCGATTGTGTAATACAATTATAAACAAAAGATACCCATAGCATCCTTGACAATGTACTGTCCTTATTCGTTCAATACTGATTTACTCCTTCACTACTTATGAAGAGTAGTGTTGAGGGATCGAAATGAGACATGTCGACTTGTCCCAAAACAGACATCGAAAGAGACATCAATAGCACTGGCTTTATTAATATGAACAAATCACAACCACACAAGAACAGAAGGATACAACTAAATGAAATACGTTAACAACCATGGTATTTATTCAGGATCGAAACCGATCTCTATTTGGAAGAAATCAAATCGCCAGTAAAGAGCACTCTACACATGGACATCCGCTGTTCTGTTACATATTATTATATTACCTCATTACCTTTTATTTAAACAACATACAAAGAAATCTTAATCTCACCCGGCATGGAATCGAACCATTTCCTTCCGCAAACAACTCCAGGTTCGAAACCGACCTCTATTCGGAAGCAATCAAACGCCAATAGCGAGCACTCTACTCAAGGACATCCGCCGTTCTGTCACAGATCACATTACAATTTCGCGGCATCTGCCATCGCTCCTAATAATGACAGGCTCCGGAACTTCCCGGTTATTACAGTGGTAGGCCACCAGTCATAGTGATAGGCCACAGCACACATTGGCAGCAAACACATTAACTCTTGCGCTGTCATTGTCATTGACTCCATGGGTGGAGGTCACGTGATGTGAACCTCACGTAGATGTTACTACGCTATAGTACTTAGACAGGCAGAAGCTGTACTTTTTTACAAGAGGGCTGCACAGCATGCTGCACTGCTGAACAGGCAACCAGGGTTCGAACCCTATTTGGTACATTCCTAAGTTTGGGCTGTTTTAGATGATTTTCATATTTATCATTTACGCTAATTTACCCCTGCGCGGTCATTGACTAAATGGAAGGAGGACGCGAGATTTGAACATAACGCAAATGTTGGTACGATATAACAGAAAGGCACGGGTACTACATTTGCGGTGAAGGTGCGGTATGCCGTTAGCTCAGTCGGCACTACCGTGTTAGAACCCTGAGCAGGTGACACTGGTCCGAATCCCCAACAGGCCATTCTGTCCGGGGCACCTGTATCCTATCTCACTGGCGGACATACTCGGTGAAAAAAAAAGATACTTATTCGAAAAGTGGGAATCGAACTCACTTTTTTCTTCTGCATCTAGACACACACAAACACACACACACACACACACACACACACACACACACACACACACACACACACACACACCCGCACTCTCTCTCCCCATCTACGCACTAAACGTGACAACATACAAGAAGTCGATTCCATTGGTAGGTTCTGTAGCTACAAGCATAAACAAGTGACAGACACAAACATCTATAGAATATAAAGCAGAAAAATTGTACTTGGCCTACTATCCTACATATTGGAAAACCAAGGAGGCTAGATGGACCTACTGTTCTTCTTAGTTTTGTTTTATTTTTGTTTTTACTTCGATACGTTCACGTGATTAACAGGTGGATCCGCCAAACTATGCCCTGTAAAATTTGCATCTGCAGGCCTACCTTGCATGGCAGGAACATAACAATAGACAGTTTCAAATAACCAGTTTTTTTGTAATGGGTGGATAGCCTATTTGTTTTTATGTCGTAACATAGTTTAATCATGTAATTTTAGGACGAGGGCTTTAGACGTGGAAGGGGTGTTTATTGGGCGCTTCTTGTTTCTACTGTTCTCTAAATGATATTACAAACAGATATTATGGATTGGGGGAAGGAGGGGGGGGGATGCTGCTTGATTATTGTCTTTGAACGGTAGAGACATTTTCAGGCACGGGGGAGGGGGAGACGAGGAAAAGGGAATGGGGGGAGGGGGGGGACTTA